GCTCTGGGTTCAAGTCCCATAAGAAGTAGCAACAACAACAACAAAAAGCCTTTGGGCAGTGATGGCCCACGCTTTTAATTCCAGCAGGAATTAAGGAGGCAGTAGGATGTCTAAGTTCTAGGACAGCCAGGGCTACACAGAGAAACCCCGTCTCAAAAACAACAAAACATGTGCATGTCCTGGGTGTCAGGAGCAGAGGTAACTGATATGTGATCTCAGAAGGTCGGATGTAGTGCAGTTCCGAGTCACAACTGGAGTCTTGGCCTGAGCACACGGGTTCTACAGAGAAAACGTCTTACCGATGTTGAGTACCTGAGGGTTGGTGTGACCTCGTTGACCAGCAAGATCTGCAGATAGTGAATATCCCTACTTGATAGGTCTGAGTCTGCAAAATACTTGTCAATTAAAAATGCACCTAGGAGGATCTGAAGCCTTCAAGGGTAAAGCATAATCTCATAGTTCTGGAGCTAAGGGAGACCTTTGGTGCACTGAAGCACGCCAGTGTGTAGGCCAGTCTCTTCACAGGTGTCATCCTGGTCCATCAGGTGAGTGCCAGGGAGCATCAGAAGGCACTTTTGATGTGGGGCTCACCCAAGCTCAGGTGTTCCGAATCCCAGCCACATGGCCTGCCCCAGAGGGTTTGGGGACATGAAGGATTCCAGCGTGGCCGCGGCCTGAGCAGTGTTGGAGAGATGAGCTCCCAGGGCTTTTGTGTGCAGTGGTTCCCCTGAAGTGCCTGTGAGGAGAAGGGAGGAAGCAAGAGATCTACATGTCTACCAAATTCCCAGGCCGCGTTGATTGAGGTTAAATCTTTTAAAGTGACAGCATTTATGGAAAGTAGACTGAAAATATATTTTTGTTTATTTATGTGTTTGTATGTGTGTGTGTGTGTATGCATGTGCAAATGTGTGTTCATTTGTGTGGAAGCCAGAGGTTGAGACTGGGTGTCTCCCTTAACCACTCTCTACCTTGTATTTTGAAACAGTCTCTCACTGACTCTGGACCCACCAAGTCTCCTGACTGGCTGAGGGTGGGCAGATCCTAAGGGCCCTCTTGTCTCTGTATTGTCAGCGCTGGGATTATCGTTCAGGTTGCCATGCCCAGGTTTTAGGTGTGTGCTGGGGATCAAACTCGGGTCTTCATGAGTGTCCCCAGGCTGCTATCTGCCTTACGCAGTCATTGTATCTGCGGTAACCACAGTAAGGTTTGGGGCTCATCTTCCTCACCCACTGTGGACAGGACATCACAGGGGTCTGGAGTTGGAAATGACCTGGAGAGCTTCTGCTTTGGCTGGTCATGTGACAGCAGGGTTACAGTGCTAGTTAAGGGTAGAGCTGAGGCCGAACTTGGTTGCTTTGATTTTCAGATGAAATCCAGCTCTGTTGAGTACCTTAACCCTGGCCAGCAAAAACCATGGGGGGTGGGGGAAGATGTTGCTGTTCTTGCTGGCCTTTGGTGAATGCCTAAACTAGCATGAGTACCACTTGGCTTAGCCCAGGATGCCCAGCATGGCCCAACATATTCCTCCATGATGCTGCTGCATGAGGCGTAGGAAGAGCTGTGCTGTCTTCTTTGGTGTCTTCAGGCCACTGTCCTTCATACCGTGTGTGTCTGTCTTCCACTTTGTCCTACTCACCGGTATGGCTGTGTGTCTATCTGATTGAGGAGGCAGTTTTTAAGTACTTAGTTAGGATGAGTCAGCCTTTTCCGATGACTTTGGAAGTCTGAGTTGTAAAGCATTTTCACAAATAGGAAACTGAGGCATTGAGTAAGATCGTGGAAGCGAGGCTGTGAGCAGGGCTCCCCCAAGGCTCTGCATTGAGGCTCAGCTCATCCTGGGCTCTGGCTCCTGCTTTCAACAGAGACTTGAGGCTGGGACTCAACTATGAAATCCTCTTGCCAGGGGAATGACACTTTGGGTCAGAGACTTCCTGGAACTGGTGAGCTAGAGTGTAACTTTCCCAGGCAGCCATTTGTGAGTAAGAATTGTGTCACATGGCCCAGGGTGACAGAAGTTTAGTTTTTTTCACCTGACTGGAAGGTGAAATGTACAGTGGTTTAGTAAATAACTTTTAATTGTTTACAAAGACTGTGTTTCTTTTAAACTTCTTTTTTCTTATTAGTTTTATTTTTCCTCTTCAGATTTACCACTTTTTTTTTTACATTTATTTTTATATGTTTGTGTGTGTGCATGTGCATGCACGAACATGAACATGCACATATGTCACGACATGCATGTGGAGGTCAGAGGTCAGGGAGTCAGTTCTTTCACCACGTGGATTCTGAGCCTTGACCCCAGGTCAACAGGCCTCATAGTGGGTCCCTTTCTTTACCTCCTAAACAGTCTCCTGTTCTATAGACTGTCTCCTATCTCTCATTCGAATGTTTATGGGTTAATATAAAATGTTCTTTTAAATATGTACAAGATGGCATCAAGTCAAAGCACAGATCTTTCTGTAAAGCAGTTCAGAAATCCCTTGAGCCATTTCCTGCTTGCCTATGTAGACTTAAGTCTTAGAAAAAGAAAGAAAGCGAGAGAGAGAAGGAAGAAAGCAGCAGGCAGGGCTGGGAAAGTGACTCAGTCAGTAAAGTGCTGACCTGAGTCTGGCTCCTGCACCCTTGGAAAAAGCTGGGCGTGATTATGTGCCTTGGTCATCCCAGCGCTGGGGAAGCAGAAACGAGGACAGGATGTCTGGGCTTCCCTGGCCATCCAGTCTAGCCTAATAGCTGAGCTCCAGGCCTGTAGGAGACTGGTCTTTAAGGTACTAGATGGTGTTTCAAAGGACAACACTGGAGGTTGTTCTCTGGCATGTGCAAACACACGTACACACGCGCAAAGTTTTTTGAAGTCAAGTAATTTTGTTTATTTACTGGAAATTATTAGAAAAATATTTAGAAGCAAGATACCACAGTGCCAGGGTATGAACAGTCTAGAGAGAGGGACACATCCGAGCACCCTCAGAAGGGTCCCCGACCAAAAGCTGTACCCTGTGGAAGTAAGCGTCACCAAGGTTGGAAAGCACTGAAATGGGCGCCTTCACTTCCCAGCTGGGACAGCCCTCCAGTGCACGGAGCTTTGAATGTGGAGGGACAGTGCCCTCTTCTGGGCACAGGGATAGGGATATAGAGTCTAAAGAGCCCAGTGTGGTCCCAAGCACAGAACAGGGCTGCCCAAGCCTGTGTGAAGAGACAGGTTTGTTTCTTTGTTTTTTGTTTGTGTTTTGTGGAGGACAGGATCCCAGAGGACCCTTGCAGACCTGGACAGGCAGAGGAGAGCTGTGGGGAGGACCTGACCAGATCAGTGTGGAAGCTGCCAGGGTCAGCAGTGAGGTGGGACTGACAGTGTCCAGGGACAGCGAGAAAGATCTGGGGAAGGCTGGTGATGGAACAAGACACGGGGTGATCTTCAAATGTTGGGCATGTCCCAGTCTTTCCTGGATGTCCGGTCTTTCCCCCCTTAGACAAAGTGGGTAACTCTCTAGCCTAGAACTTGCTCTTGGTTCCTGTGGTTGTAATTCTCTGGCTTTTCTTTCTTGTCCTCTTCTCTTCCATTCAGTGCCCTTGTAGCGCACACTCCCTATCCCATACCCATTTACAGCCCAACACCGAGCCTGCCTGTGTCTTAGTTCAGCCCAGCAGTGCTCCTCGGGGAACCTGCTCTTGACTCTTGGGCACTGGAGGGAATCCCAGTTGTCCAGCGTTAGCATCTTGCATCTCTGAAATTGCCCATTTTAGAAAAACTGATTCTAATACCATCCACCGTGTGGCACCCATAAAATAAATTCCAAAGCCAGCAGCCTGGGAAATCAAAAGCACCTGACCATGTTAGACAGATTAAAAGTCCAGAACCATAAAAGCAGGGGGTAAAGCATGCTCACGAACTGCACAGAACCCTACCAGCTTCGCTCAGTAAGTTTCTTGCACCACAATGATTGTGTGTTTCCAATTGCTTAAGCTTTTGAGAAAACTTGCTAGAAGATAAAGCCTCTGACTTCCTCTTTGAAAGGGAGAATCTGGGCTTCTCTGCCAGTTGACATGCCAGCTGTTCTGTGGTACCGACCCTGTTGGACCTAGTGACATAAAAATGTCCATGTGGGACACTGGCACTTCAGATGCTGGCGGCAGGTGTGACCTCAGTGCCTGTCCCTGCTCTCTGGAGTGTTCTGTGACTGTCTGGAGAATGCATGTCCACTGAGGCCTACTCAGTTGCTCTTTCCTCCCTTGTACGAAGGCTCCCCCAACCCAGCAAAATGTCTTCATGACTTCAGGTATGGTTCAGCTACATCTCTGTGGAGCCTCCTTCAGTGAGGAATGTGGCAGTGTTTTGTGACTGTTCGGTAGGCCAGCATAATAATTAAAGCCTGTGGAAAACTTCACCAAGTACAGTGGCTACCAAAGCATGTGCTAAATCCAAATTATATTTGAAGTATGAAAGGCCACCCAGAGAGTCTTGGACATCCCTGGAATTTTAAATTATTCCCCGAGGACTTGGCCCAATGTGATTCTGTGTCCAGACACCCACAGGAAATGGAAAGGAAGGTGTTTTCATATGAGGGGGCTGGATTGCAAGAAAACTCTGATGACATTTTATAGCCAAACTTTAGAAGAACTCAGCTTTTGTTTAAAGGGACCCAGACTACTACAGACGATCCTAAAAGGTGACAGCAAAGGTACAGGTGGTTCTAGATAGTGTGCAGAGCTGTCCCAGCAGCCAAGAGACATGTTATGCTGTCCCTGGCAGATGACATCAGCCATGACGACCACACTGCCCACTTGTCCTAGCCGATAGCCCAGAGCAACCCAGGGAATAAACAGAGCTTCTGTGAGCTCCCTCTTCCTGTCCACACCTATGTGCAGAACTGCTCTCTAGATGAGTCCTCTGCTACCTCTAAATGGCTTCTTTCATGAGAGTCTCCGGTGTCCACATGTCAGCATTTGCAAAGGCTGGGCTGGGCTGGCTGCTGGAGTTGGCGCTCATAGGTCCTTCTCTTCCTTCACAGGTCTTCATCTCCGTGAACTGCTTGAGCACAGATTTCTCCTCTCAGAAGGGTGTGAAGGGCTTGCCGCTCAACATTCAGATCGACACCTACAGCTACAACAACCGCAGCAACAAGCCAGTGCACCGGGCCTACTGCCAGATCAAGGTCTTCTGCGACAAGGTAAGAGCAGTGGGCTTAGGGCAGAACACCTGAGGTGGGCTGTCCTTCCAGAAGAACGCCCAGGCTTCCTGACACACAGGGATGCTGGCCTCTAATGGGCACTTAAAATTTTACGCTTGCTTGAAAAGAAGCATCATAGAAGGAACGGAAAATAGTAGAACTAAAAAGATGAGAAGATCTGGCACCGAGTTTTGTTGGTTGTGTGTGGTTCAGGATGGGGACCAGGTCCTGGGCTCAGATCAGTAACTGCTGCACTGACCACCCTCCACCTGACTCACCTCCCTTCAGCAGGCCAGCCCCAACATTTCACCAGTTTCTCTGCAGCAGCTGCTTCCTCCTGGGAAACATGGCCACTTTGGCCAGGTGCAGCGCCAAGCCTTCTCTGTCAAGTCACAGGCTCTGGTAGGGCTGTTGGACCACTGGAGGGCGCCTGGGACCTTCCAGTTCAGAGAGCTTTCTCAGCAGCCAGCCTGGGCGCATCTGTAGGCCAGGGTGGCCACCTGTAACAAATGATCTCAAACCCGGTGGTTGAACGCACCAGCCTTTTACTATCTGCCGGTAGCTCAGTCTTCCCGAGCTGACGCTGAAAGTGTGAGCAGGTCTGCGTTCCTCTCTAGACTGCCTCCTCTGCATCTTTAGAAGGCCTCCGGTTCTCCTGCCTCCTGCTCCCTCGTGATGACCACCTCCGGCTTCCACAGCTGACCCAGGATCATTTCCCCAGCTTCCAGCCAGTCAGTTAGCAGCCTTCCCTCCCCTTTCCGTGTAACCCGCTCCCTCCCGGGCCCCAGGGTCAGGTGCGGAGCTTACGGGTACACAGGTGCTTCCCGTGGGCTGTGCTTGGAAACAGTGAGTCACAGCTGCTGGGCACCAGTTCCTCTGACCTATGCCAGGCTTCCCTCATTCCTCTGTAGCCGGGACAAACCCTGATGATCCAGGTGTGTGGCTCCAGCACCTGAGAGGCCAAGAGATCGGGAGTGCTTGCACGCGCTCACACACATCTCAAACAAGGACAAAGCAAAAAAAAAAAAAAAAAAAAGCCCTAGGAGGAGCTACCAGCATGTTTGTGTTCTTTTAATAAGACTAGCAAAATCACAGTTTTTTTCAAACCTTTTTTCCCCACACCTGATGTTTCTGTTAAATCCTTCCTGGCTAATAATTTCCCTGGGCACTCTCAAGAGTGTATGCGTTCGTTGTCTGAGTGCCACACAACACAGGCTTATTTTTCACAAGGCCTCTGCAAGCTGGAGCTGCCTCAGCTCTTTGCCGCCCACCGGCACCCTGTCTCTGTGCTCTTTGAGGCTGACACACTCGTTATTTGGTGCATTTCGCTTGCCTTCTCCTGGCTCTCAGAACTCTCACTTTATGAGCCTGGTCTCCACTTGGGGTCAGAAACTAGAAGTGAGACACTTCAGAGTGCCCTTCGCCCCATCGACAGCGTGTTTCTTTCCTAAGGAGGTTGGGCTTTGTTGTCTCTTTGTTAGGAGCTGCTTAGCTCATAACGTCGTCTGACAAATGATAGTTTCTTTGGCCTTCTGGAGCAGTAACCACTGAGCACACTTTTAGAGAAAATGCAGCAAAGTTTGGATTTCTAACCCATGGAACTTGGGTGGCTGCTTTTTTTTATAAGCTCCCTGGCTCATCCTTTCAGTCTCTGAGACACTGTCATAGGCAGTTTGTACCCATTAGAGAGATGAGAATGACCTTGAACTCCTGATCCTCCTGTCTGTTTCTCCGAGGTCTCTGTGACACTCCATTGACACTCCCACAGAAGTCAGTCTCTTCATCAGATCGTAGTCATCCTAGCCACAACAGGCAGCAGGTTCTTCAGGATAATGTTTTGGGACAAGCCTTGGTGTGCCCAAGCACATTCTCAGCAAGTGATAATGAGAGAGAATCCGGAGAGCTTATAGCCAGAAGCCCCCACACCGTCCCAGGACTTCCTTTAACATCTGTGGTGTGTGTGAACTGGGGGTGAGTCCCTCAGCTGTTCAGCACGAGAAGAGCGCATTGCACCTTCAGCTCTCGTGCTGGTGCAAGATCCCGCTGCCAGCCCACAGCTGCTGCACGTCCGTGCTGGCACTGTGGACAAGACTGCAACCACCCCCGTGTGTCCCGAGCTTGAGAGCTCCCTGTCTCTGTCTTTTACCAAGAGGTGGGAGCAGTTAAGTCTGACGAGGCTCCATGTTCTTGAGTTCGCTGAGCGTCTGTGTGCTGTGGCTTTCACTGGGTTTGGAACACGTCTGGCTGTTGTTTCTTCGGACATGCCTGCTTCTTCCCCTCAGGTTCTCCAGTTGCACCTGTGAGGTGCTTTAAGTTTCGCCAATTGTCTGTGGTTACCATTGTTTGATTTTTTTTCTTACTTCATTTCAGATAGTTTCCATCACCCTAGGTCCACTGATCCATGGTCAGGTCTGATCCGCTGATCTGAACTCCATCCATTGGCGTTTTCAGCTCAGACATGGCAGTTTCCATGCCTGAAAGTCAAGGCTGGACCCCTTTTACGCCTTCCGTGCCTCTACCTAGCAAGCGATGGATTTGCTGCTGGTGGTGGTGCTGTTGTTGGTTGGTTTGGGTGCTTCCTCTTGTGGTCCTGGGCCCAAACATGGGGTCTCGTTCCTATTAGGCCATTGTGTCCCTCTGAGCCACACTCCAAGCCCAGCCAGGTGTAGTTTTTCCACGGTCTTTGGCATATGGTATAAAGTTACTGTGTCCGGGTTTCCCTCAGTGGTTTGATTTCCTTCCTGTTTGGGGACTGTCTGGCTACCTTGCTGGGAACGGGACCTTGGGTATTTTGCCTTGCTGGGGACTAGGCAATTTTTTATTTGGGACTCTTCTTCTTATTTGTCCTGAGACTTCATTAAGTTTCTTGGAAACAGTTTGCTTCGTTCAGATGTCAGCTAAGGATTTGATAGGTGACAGTCAAGCCACGCTCTGTCAGACTAATTACTCTGCACCACTGAGCAGGAGTTTCCTGGGTGTCAGCCCAGTGCCCCATGAGAGGAAAGTTTTTCCAGTTCAGTTGGTGGGAACAGACAGTATGTTTACCCTGGTTGCATTTGGGGGTGTTTCTCTGTCAGGGCTGTGTTCTCCCTGGTTTGGAATAACCTCTATGCGCCTGCGTACCTGAAAGCTGCCGAGCTCCTAGGTTGAGTGTTGGCTTGGTGCTTTGTTGTCGTCCTTCAGCTGGGATCCTGGAGGCACCGGGCCTGCAGCTAAGGGCCTGCCTGCCCTCTCCTGTTCTGCAGGGCCCTCAGAATCCTTGCTTCCTGAGATTAGCAAGGGTCTATCATTTCTGGGTAGAGCATAAGCCTTTATCTTGGCAGGAGCCGGAGTTCCTTGTTTTTCTTTCTGGATATGGCTGATAATACCGTTTGGTGAAGCTGCTTTTGGGGCAGAGGTGAGGTTAGGTTGTTGGAAGGCATGGGAGCACAGCTGTTTTGGATTGGGGGGGGATGTGTGGGGAGGCCAGGCTTTGATGTTGGAGACCTCCCTTTACTCACCTTCCCCCGTATATTTCGAGGCAGGGTCTCCTTTGAACTCAGATCGCCAATTTGGCAGCTCCAGCTAGCCAACTTTCTCCAGGATGCACTGTCCCTGTCTTCTGCTCTCCGGGGTCATAGGCAGGGCGGCAGTGCCCACCCAGAGCTGACATGGGTGTTGGGGACCTGAACTCTAGTCCTACCCTTGGGCTGCAAGCACTTGATCTTCCAAGCCATCTCTCCAGCCCGTACGTGGCGATTATAAGCAGGCTGCCCATCTACAGTGCAGTGTGTTAGCGCCTTCTAGCGTAGGCAGGAGGGTGTGCGTTCTCTTTTCAAACCCTTATCGTGTAAGGATGCCAAAGGTCAGGGAGAGCCTGCCACTTCCTCCCTCCTGACGGGAGTATAGTTAACAGAAACGTAAGCCAGCAGTTCCTGCCTCGCTGGGCAGCCGTAACGTCATCCACACCCCCAGAGACATTATCACTACACGAAGCAAAATGATTCAGTATTACATTCTAGTGTGTTGGAGGCTATCTCATTTCAGGTCATGGTTTTCTGAGTAAAGTTTTTGTGAATACTTTTGTGGGTTCAGTTGCATGACATTGCCGCCCTGCACTTGATACACATGGCACAAATAAGTCCTTTTACAGGATACAGAGCACAAAGAGCTCTCGTGACATCCTTGTTTTTGTGAGTGACATCTGATTGTGTCTGTCACCTATGGGCACTGTGGCTTTGGACAGATCCACTCCTCTGTGTGATAACATTGACCATACAGGGAAGAGCCATAGGGCCAGATTTTATCTTTTCTTTCATGGTCCTTCCCGATGAAATAGGGGGAAGGCACCCACAGCTTGGCGGGCAGTGTGGTGCGCTAGCAGGTGCCCTCAGCTTCACCTTTAACCTGGCCACATCTGTTAGGAAGAGATGGTTTCACTTTATTTGTGCTTAAAATAAATGTTGCCAGTGCTTGACTTCCTGTAGTTGGGATGCTGTTAGATCTGTTAATGGTAGAAGGGGGTTTCCGTGTCATTTCCAAACATGCTTACGATGTACCTGGGTGAGGGGAGGGGGCTTCTAAGAGGAAACCGATGTGGCAAGCCAGTTGCTGGTGCTCACTTCAGAGAGGAGAGAGCTGAGTAATTCCCGGCGGATCTGATCCACAGAGTCTTGTCTGCTTTGCCTTCAGGGAGCTGAACGGAAAATCAGGGACGAAGAACGAAAGCAAAGCAAGAGAAAAGGCAAGTGCACTGACCACAGTTCCCGGGGAATGCCTGGTGGTGGCCGTGTCCTGCCCGCCGCAGCCTGGACCCTGCAGAATACAGGCTGGACAGGGCGAGACTGACATGGCAAGTGCCTTGTGGCTCTGCGGCTGGACAGGGCCAGCGCCGAGGCCTTCACCTGCGGGTGAGGGCAGAGGCCTGCTCGCAGAGCTGCCGGCCAGTGTCATGGGCTAGTCCCTGCTCAGGCTGATTTGGATGCTGGTTCTAGCTCACTGTGTAGACCAGGCTGGCCTCCAAGTCATAGAGCTCGCCAGCCTCTGCCTCCCAAGTGCTGGGATTAAAGATGTGCATCACCACGTCTGACCAGCCCATAGCTATAATCTCTTGGTGGCTTCTGTTTTTTTTTTTTCTCCCCAGTTTCTGATGTTAAAGTGCAGCTGCTGCCCTCACACAAACGGACGGACATCACAGTGTTCAAGCCCTTCCTGGATCTTGACACTCAGCCTGTCCTCTTCATTCCTGACGTGCATTTTACCAACTTGCAGCGGGGTAGCCATGTAGGTAACCAGCCTGTGGGGGAAGCTGCAAGGCCTGGGGGAGGGGGGAACTTGGCATTTTCAGAGAGTCACACTGTAGTGGCCCTTGACCAATTAGTAAGCTCTCCGGAAGGTTCAGTCATGGTGATGTGATACCCATTCCAAAGACACAATGCAGAACCTTGTCACCTCAGTTCCACTTATATTCTTTCCTGTTGTAGCTCATTTAAAGGTATTGAGAATAGCACCACACTTGGAGTCCGAGTCTGTTGTCTTGTAAATTCAGTGTGGGTACCATCTGTGTCCAAAGGCTCCCTTGTAGTTCCCATTGCTGGATGTCATCAACATGTGCCCTACAGCCATGTCTTAGCAATTCGAGCTACATATTTTTTATTATCTATTTATTTATTTGTGTGTTTTTTCAAGACAGGGTTTCTCTGTGTAGACCTGGCTGGCTTGGAACTTACTGTGTAGACCAGGCTGGCCTCGAACTCAGAGATCTGCCCGTGTCTGCCGGTCTGCCTTCTGGGTGCCGGGATTAAAGGCGTGCTCTAGCACCACCTCCCGGCTAACTCATGCTAAATTTGAAAACTAGCGCTGCTTGCTTTGTGCTACAGGAGTTTAAAGAGAATGTGGCTTTTCTTTTTATACTGAGGTCAGGTAAATATCACAAAAGAAACCCAGCCATGCACTCACGGGACAGACTTGTGAGGACTAGTGCATTTTCAGAGGCGTTGCCAGCACTCTGATTCTAGTGAGCAGCCTCAGGGGGTGCTGGAGTCAGCAAGCTTTTTCTGTGGAGGGGCGAGTACCAGTGACTATTTCAGACTTGTCCGTCTGTGTCATCTCCCGTGGGCTCTTTCGCTTTGCTGTTCTGTTGCAGAAGTAGCCACACAGAGCGGGGGAATGAGTGGGGCACCATTTCACTAAATGCTTGTATCAGCCAACCTCCCACAGGTTTGGGCTCTGAGTCAGTAAAGCCAAAGAAAGCTATAAAAATCTAGGCATCAGAAGCTGTGGATTCAGGCTTATATCTCTCAGAAGAAGGGTCAGATTCAAGATTGTCTCCATTTTAGGACTGATTTGCTTATCGTCTGAGATATTTGAACATGTTTGGAAAGGAATCTGAATGTGCGTTTTGTGTGTTTGTTCTCAGGTGCTTTCCCTCCCCTCTGAAGAACTGGAAGGTGAAGGGTAAGGGTCCCGTCTTGTTTTTACTGTAATAAACTCATTTCATTTTGAAATCATCTCAGACTTACCAAAAACGTAGAGATACAGTACAAAGAACTTGTTTACCTCCGAGCTGTTTGAGCATACCAGGTGTGGGGGCACCTGCCATCTAGCACTTCCGAAACTGAGGCAGGAGGATGTGAATTTGAGGCCATCCTGGGCTAAACACAGTGACTTCTTAGCCACAGCGTCATGGCAAGACCCCTGTTTCCAATAAACGAATAAAGAGCCGACCCAGAGCCCACCACTGCTGAAATACCAGGTGCCTGTCTCCAATAAACGAGGAGACAGTACCCCACAGTGTGGAAGGGAGGAGCGCTCTGACTTGCTGCCTGTGCAGTCACCAAAAAATGCTGGTTCCCCGTAGGGGAGGCAGTGTGTAGAATCTGGGTTGGGGACCTTAGCTATCCCTCGGATATTAGCACTCCTCTCTGTAAATCGGCTGCCTACCCCTCGGGCTGTGTGGCCAGCAGTCCCCAGCTGTTAGGATATCCACAGCAGACCCAGCCTGGCTTGTCCTTCATGGTGGCTTTGGGGCTGAACGTGGAGCCTGCCTTGGTAACTACGTTTTCTCCTCACACACAAGTGTATGAGGTGGAGCGCCCAGCTGTCAGCACCACCCTTAGCCCTCTCTTCCTTCATCTCACTTTTGGTTTTGGCTTTCACGACAGGCCTGGACTCTGGCCCAGGCTAGCCTAGGACTCGCTGTTAGCTGAGCCTGGACTCTGGTTCATGAGCTCTTCCTGCCTTGGGCTTCTGAGTACTGGGACTGCAGGCACAGGCCGCATGCCTGGCCTTCTTGGTACTGTTTTTGCTTCGCCTCCTCTCTGACCCACTCCCAGCATGCATTTGTTGCCAGCTGTACCTTGTCGACAACTGGACCTGAGCCACTGGTTCCTTTTTTGGTGTTTCAGACAGGGCTTCTGCAGACACCTTCACCAAGTGCCTGTTGAGAGTGAGGAGCTAAGACGCAATGGTGCTTTCGAGCTTGTTCTGAAAAGTGCTTGCTGTCCTCCCTTCTGCTCATCTGTCCCTCCGCTCTCGCCTCACAGACCCTCCCCAGAATGCATGCTTTGCCAGCAGTGGCTCAGACCCGTGCACTTCCCTGTCATGCTCCTTGGCCACTCTCCCCTGCTATTTCCGTGGACACCACAGTATGTTAAGCCTTTAGAAGTTACACAGTGGCTGTCACTCAACCCCTCTAACGGGCCGTCCTACCTGTGGACCTGGAATTCCCGGCAGCATAGACCATGTGTGTTGGCCATAGCTGTCCACCTGACAAAGCTTGCAGAGATTCCCTCTGGCCTGTGACATAAAACCCACGATTCCTTAAAGCCGAACGGAGGAAGGAGGCAGCCTCCCTGCCTAGGCATGTCTTCTGTCGCAGGCTTTGTGTTAGTGGAAAGATGTTGGGCAATGGAGGCCGTCCAACATGCCATGTGGGTGGCCCGGGGCCTCCCATTAATGAGCCCTGCCCTGGTCCTCATCTGACTTGGACTACACAGAGAAGGAAAGGGATCTGAGTCTGAAGTGCAGCAACTGCTCTAAAAACACTCCTTCTGCTGATGCAGTTCATCGAGTCAAAGCGGCTGACTTGACTGTGCTTCGGCCCCCTCACAGGTCTGTCTTGAAAAGGGGGCCATTCGGCGCCGACGATGACTTCGTAGTTCCTCCACCTGCTAAGCTGGCTCGGACTGAGGAGCCCAAGAGAGGTGTGTTGGCTCCCGGTGATGAATGAGAATTCTAAGGCAGCAGTGAGCTCATGAACATGGCTTATCTGGCTTCACCCCTGTATGGTCACCCTTCAGGCCACCACGTCCCTGAGTATGGGGGGAGGCGGCATTCAGGGGAAGCTGCCCCTAGGTCCTGGGGCTCTCTCTGTGGTGGTGTGTCTTGCTGTGCCTCGTGGGACTGTGTGTGGCCGGCTTACCTGCAATCTGTTTTCATGTTTCGCTCATGTGGATTAACTTCTTCTCTCCCTGCAATCCACCCACAGTGCTGCTCTATGTCCGAAAGGAGTCAGAGGAAGTCTTCGATGCCCTGATGCTCAAGACCCCATCCTTGAAGGGCTTGATGGAAGCAGTAAGTAGGACCCCCCCCACACACACCCCAGTCTCTGTAAAAATGAAGGGAGCCTCACAGCATCCCCCTGAAGCATCTTACTAGACACCCGATTCCTCTGTCACACCAGAACCTTGACCTCTCTTCCCAGCCATGTTTGTGCATGCTCGTAGCACTGCCTGCATTTGACCTGCCTTGGCTATCCTCTCTTGACTGAGGGTCTGCCTTGTCCCTTGTGACCGGCCTGGAGTTGGTAGGTGGATGGCTCTGTCATATCTATTCAGCAGTATGCAGTGAATTTGTGATGGCCTAGGGGAGAGTTTAACTTTTATATTCTTGATTAAAAAAGAAAATTCTTGTAGCAAACCACTTACAAGCCAACAACAGTAAAGCTTTAAAAATGTAGCCCGTAAAATAATGGCTCAGTTGGACTTGGTAGCAACATGTGTAATCTCCAAAGTGCTGGGAGCTAGGGCAGAAACTGAAAGCTTGAGACAAGCCTGCCTCAGAACGAAACTTCCAGCTCCCAGGCTGCCTCTGCGCCCTGCTTGTCACTGCCAACCATGCCAGACCTTACCCAGAGCACATCTGAGAGGTGTGACCTGTGGCGACCACCAATCCCAGGAGCCGCTAGAGGGCTGCGCTCAGCCCAGCTCGTGTCCCCTTGGCATGTCAGTAGGAGAAGCATGGGAGGAAGGGTGCATGCAGACCCCCTCTCTGATTTGTCTCAGCTAGAATTCTAGCATCCGGGACATTTTCCAACTATAGGCCCTAAAAACGATGGATGTTTTAATCTCAAAGTGACACATAATTGAAATTGGACTAGAAATGTCCCCCAGTTCCCTTTGACAACTGTGGTGTGGTAAAAACCCACTTGACGATTCTTTTAAACGCCAAGAAAAACCAGGTTCTCACTGTGTAGTCCAGGCTAGTCTAGAACTCATCAGATAGCCAGTCTGGCCTCAGGCTCCCCAGTGCTGGGAGTTCACACTACCACACTCAGCGCTGTCCAGGGGCCATTGTAGGCACCGGAATAATGGTCCAATGCAAATGGAGTGGATTGCCCAGGCAGGAAGACAGGAGGAAATAAAACAAGCAGGAAACTCACAGGAAATCTTCAGATGCAGAAAGTGCGATGAAGGAGCATAAATCAAATGAGGTAATGGGTGCCAGTCCCTCCGGGCCTCCCTTCCTGCTTAGATCGGCCTCAGCTCAGTGCTGTTCCAGCATTAGCGTCCTGTGTGCTGGGCTTACAGGCGTGCCCAGCATTTTGGCGTCTGCGTTCCTAAAAGACAACACAGACTTTCAGTTTGTGCCTGTGTGACACGCCTGTACCTCTCAAGGATGAATGCATGCAGATTCTCAGAACAGTGCCATGAACTATGCAGAGTAGGCCTGGTGGGCACTGAGGCCCAAGTGGGCAAGGCTGGAGCAGGGCTGGCCCCCTGGGTGGAGCGGATGGGGAGAGCAAATGAAGGAGTCATCCTGGGGAACTAGAGCCACCCTGAACACAGGCCTCTCGATCGCCCTAGCTACGGATGTTTCCTTCAGTCAGATGGTTTGTTGACATCTGAATTAATTAGGGGAATCCCAGCTCCCAATCCCAGGACATAGTTTGGGTCTTGACATTCTCTTTGTGTAAGTGTCTTGTTAAAAACAGGAGCCTGAAAGGTGTGGCGGCACACACCTTTACTCCCGGGACTCAGGGAGGCAGAGGCGGGCAGATCTCTGTAAATTTGAGGCCAGCCTGCTCTACAGAGTGAGTTCTAGGCTAGCCAGGACTGTTACATAGAAGGAAGAGGGGGAGACTGAGACAGGAGAAACTTCAAGTTTGAGGCCAGTCTGTGCTTTTGTAAGACCTTGTGAGTTCCAGGCCAGTCAGGGCTGTGAGTTCCAGGAGAGCCAGGGCTGTTACACAGAGAAACCCTCCATCAAAGAACCAAGACCAAAAATCCAAAATACACACCCACACACACCCACACACACACCCACACACACACCCACACATACACACACACACACCCACACATACACACACACACACACACACACACACACACACACACACACACACACAAACCCCACTGGCTGCTCTTGAGGAGGACCTGGCTTTAGTTCATAGCACCCACATGATGGCACACAGCTGTCTGTAATTCCACTCCCAGGGAGCCAGTGCCCTCTTCTGACTTCCACAAGTATGTACCATGTACGCAAGTATGCAGAGAAAACGCTCATAAATTTAAAATTAATAAACACATACGTGCAGGTATACACATAAATAAAAATAATCTTCTTTTCAAAACAAGGTAAAGTGAAAAGATGAATATAATCATGTTTGTTTTATTCTCTCTTCTTTTAGATCTCAGACAAGTATGATGTCCCCCATGACAAGATTGGGAAAATATTTAAGAAGTGCAAAAAAGGGTGAGTAGTGACAGGTGATCTGTGTACCCCTGAAGGCTGCTACTTGTAGCACTGGTGTAGCGTGCTTTGCCGCTCATAGCACTGGCAGCACGCCAGAAGCAGCCATGAAAACTCGAGTGTTAGAGCTGGGGTCCTGCTTTCATTTATTGTGTGGAAGAAAGTGGAAGAGTGAGTCAGGGTCACCCTCTGTGGCCCAGGCTAACTCTGAACTCACGGCAGTGCCCCTGCCTCAGCCTCCCCAGGGCAGGGAGTGTAAGTGTGAAGCACCGTGCCTCATTTTCTTTCCCTTAGGAAATTATTTACTTAAACTTGATCTTCCTGACAGCCGAGGTGGCCCCCCTCTCCCGGGAGTGTGAGGGACCTGGCCGAGGATGTCAGGACCCTCCCGGCCCATCACCAGCCAGGCTACACGTCTCAGGCCTTTTTCTTCACATCTGTGAGATGGGTGTAGTGTTTTTAAGTGAGGCGTCTGAGGCTTGAGGAAGGAAGGGCCTCATCTGTGATCACATGGTTTTGGTGGTGTGGAGCTGTGACTCAAACCAGTTTTGACTGACCCCAGAGCCTTTTCCCTTTCTTCTTGAGCACCCTCCCCTGGGCTGTATTTTCAAGCTCTAGAAAATTGCTTGTTGACTAGAAATTAATTTTTAGTGTCTTATGTTTATTTACTTGTGTCTATGTGTATCGTTGTGTACCAATGCCATAGTGCACTTGTAGAGGTCAAAGGACGACTTTCAAGAGTCAGTTCTCTCCTACCACGTGGGTACCAAGGATGGGACACGGTCACCATGCTTGGCCGCAAGCACCTTTACCTACTGAGCCATATTTTGGGCCCTAGAAATTACTATTTTTAGTTCTGTTTTAGTTGAAGTGTTTGGATAAACAGTCCATAGTATGAGACTTTTTGTCTTATTTCTACACCAAACACTAGTTGAAATTTTCTAGATGACTCTAAAGGGAAGGGTTAAGCTTAGCTACTTCATTTAAACTTTGAGGGTAGCTTACCAGGAAAGGTAATGGTTAGGTGGCTGTGACTCCATGGAGATGGGTTCTTCTGATTCTGTCTAAGGTAGAATAACAGATAAGCTATGGGTACATACATACATACACTGGGTACCATTCAGTGAACATTCTAGGCCGGAAGTGATAAAACAGGCAGCGTTTCCTGTCTGCCACCTGCTTCCTTTACTCGGTTCCCCCTACCCAGTCCTCACTAGTCTTGCCAGAGGCACCCTGGGACATGCAGCATGGGAGGGTGTGAAAGGTGTCCCCACAAGTCACAGCCAGTCAGCGCCCAAGCAGACCAAGCCTAGCTCCACAGCCATCCCTGTAGGACGGCGGCGACCCGTGACCTGTCTTTGTCCAGGATCCTGGTGAACATGGACGACAACATTGTGAAGCACTACTCCAACGAAGACACCTTCCAGCTGCAGATCGAAGACGCCGGCGGGTCATACAAGCTCACCCTGACAGAGATCTAGGGTGGGGGCCGCTCAGCCCCCAGGCGTGGGAGTTCAGTGACAGTGCCCCGTAGGTCTTAGAGTTTGGCCCGCTGAGGAGCCCGGGCACCCACCCTGCAGACACCTTAAATATCAGGGAAGGAGAAGATGCCGCCTGTAACGGGCTGGGTTGGTGTTTTCCGTGTGATAGCAATCCATATGTTGTCGTTGTTTGAATATCTGATGTGCTTAGAAAGCGAGGCGTGAGGACTTTGTACCGGACGTAACAGACCGTGGAACCTTTGGGTTCTCTGCTGTATTACTTCTCAAAATCTGCCTGTGTCCGTGATGGCGGCAGGCTGCTGGCTGGAGAGAGATGGGAAGGCAGTAGCTTGTCTTTGAGAATTTTGTGTTCTTGCCGGACCTCAGTCTAAGCCAACTGCCTTGGGGAGTGGGCCCAGCCCTGAGCAATAAAGGGCTGAGCCCTCTCCCTCCAGCTCTCCTCCTCCAATGTTTACTAAACAGGGTGCATTACTGGAACCTTCCCTTGCGACTTCCTTGGACGTATGGACTGCCTTTCTTATGAAGAACTTAAGTGGGGACAGTGTGAAGTTAGTTCAGTGAAAGCTCCGTTGTATATAAGTGCAATATCTCTTTGAAGGTCTGCCTGTAAATGTGTACATATATGTCTGATAGAAATACATAATATATAAATATGGTATCTGTGTACAGAGAGAAGGCGGCCAGGAAGATCTACCTTGAAACCCCTCCCTGGAGAAGAGGTTAAGTTATTTTTGATAATGTGGGCCGAGCAGGTAGAATGTTGCTTTCCCCAACACAAGCGTTTCCTAGCATAGCAAAAAGCCATCGCATGTGGCGGAGCCATCCACTCCCGAGAACGCAGTCACCGTGTGGTGCCCGCACCACCGGTGGAGCTAACGGAAGACTGGCCTGCAGCTCCTGTGCAAGGTGTCAGCCAGCTGTGTCCACACAGAGTCACAGCTCCCCAGGAGCAGGCCAGCTGCGCCATGTTCCGTGTTTTGAGTCCCGTTGTCTCGGAGCCTCCAAGTGTCAGCGACTGTGTGTTTTAACTAGAAAGCCTTTGTGGATTTACATTACTGTGGCAGGGGAATGTTTTGTACACACTTAAATATTTAAAAAAAAAAAAAAAAAAAACCAAAACTCTACAATGTAATTTTATAATGAAGCCTGTAACAAATACAATTGCGGGTCTCTTTAGGTTCAGGGAGCTAGAATAGATCACTTGTATGAGCAGGACTGTTAGCGGTGTACTTAGGTAAAAATAGTCTAATGAAGTATGTGAACAAAATAGCTGGTTTTCTAAGATACGGGATACGGGTCGTATAACAATATTTTATATTTTGTTTTATGAAATCAATTTTACTTGTTTTAATTTTACCACCAAACATGTGTTTTCAGAGAAAGGTATTGAATTTTATATGTCTGTTTCACAAGCTGTTGGCTCCTGTTATTCAGTGTGACTCCTTTGCTCCCTCCTTTTAGCTTTGCCCTGACTAACCTGGAACTTGCTGTGGAGACCAGACTGGCTTCAAGCTCAGAGTTGTCTTCCCCAAGTGCAGGGATTAAAGGCCTGCACAACCATGCCCAGCACGCTTTTTAAGCTCAGGCTGACTTTGAACTCACCAACCACATGCCTTAGCATGGGGATTACATGCACACACCACCATGTGTAAAGGCCGCTCTTAGTGAACACGGTGCAGTCAATGAAGCCATCGTTCCCACCTTCATCCTTAGGTCAGAAGTCCAGCCTATGCCCACAGCCTGGGCTACTTGTGGCTCAGTGGCTCAGGTCCAGCTTGGCGAGCCAGACTTGATGGCACCTGCCCTGAGGGAGCCCTTCCTCCCAGCCCCCATTGCTGCCATCAGAACCGAGTGGCCTCCCTACCCAACACCAGTTACCTGGCAAACATTCAAGAAGCTTACAGTGGTAACTCTTCATACCTTTAGGCAACCCGGTCACTTTAGAGAGTAAAGCAGGAGGTTTTGCAGAATTTCTAAGCTCAGAAATGAGCCTCAGTAGGACTTGGACTCCGTGGCACAGGAGGCAAAAGCTGTCCAGTGAACAGATGGCTAGAGCAGTAGTACCTGAGAACATGGCTCAGGGAAAGGCAGTTCAAGGGAGCCCACAGATCCCAGGGGGCGGGCATCGCGGAGGAAGGCTGGGTGGGTCTCTGCGTGCGGAGAACTAGCTGTGCCTTGGGAGTGTTGAAAGGCTGTACCTTGCTCTTCCTTTCTGTGGCTCCATGTGCTCCGGGAAAGGAGGGTGTGACTGTCATCTCATGTTGGTGGCATTTGCATCCCACCTGGGGTCACCAACAGGGCAGGCAAGCTTTGATCCCTGACCTCTTCCTTCTGGGCGTCAAACCTGGTGCTCAGAGGGGTGCTCAGACTATGCTCGGGTCTCCTCTATCCTGATCCTGAACGCTAAACATGTGAGTCCCTGCGCCCAAACTCCTGTAGCTACTATCCCCTTCAAATCTCTGAACCGAATACCAAATAAATAAATCAATAAATCCAGTCAGCTACCAGATGAACATTACAGCTCTAGGAGAAGGTGACTAGAGATTTAAACACCCACCCCCAAGTCCTCCTCCAAGATAACCCCTGAGAAGGCTCTATGGGAGGAAGTTTCTGGAGTGGGCTATCCAGTGGGGCGAGGGCTAAAGATCCCAGTGACTCGGCCACCATGCCAGTAGCAATGAACACTGACGGAGGCTTGAAGCGTGACTAGGAATGTGTGCAGTCTCAGCACTGGACCTCAGGGAAGTGCTTCGAAACAGCTGTGGGCGACTGACCCCCACGGGAATATCGTGATAGTGGATAGTGCATCGCCACAAGCCAACAAGTAGAGCGATGTTCGTCTTAAGAGACAAAATGATGAGAGAAGCTGTGTTCTGGGATCCAGGGACCTGGTTCAGCTGCCACACGGACCCAGAGCTCTTAGGTTTGGGCTGGCAGGAGCTGTGTATCCCACAGCGGCAGAGCCACTGGCTGGACGTCAGACGCAGAGCCTCGTCCCGTGATTGACTTGCAGCCAAGCTGGATGTCTGTTACCAATGTAAGGAGCTTGCTTGGAGGACACGGGATGTGAGAATGTTACCTAAGCTAGAGAGGGGTGGCTTCCCCAAGCCCATGGCCTCCCCACCCACGGTGGTATCCCTCTGCCCTGAACAAAGCATTCAGTGGTGGGAATGGAGTTTGTAAATCAGCTCAGAGGCAGCCTTTTACTCCCCAGTGCTGCTGTAGCTACAGCTACTGTTGAGTGCTAAACGCTAAACAATGCTACAGAGCCATCTTCCATCACGGAAGGGACAGGTTTGACTCTTACTGGAATAAACACCGGATTTCCTTTACCTTCTCTGTATGGTTGATGCTCCTGCTTGGAGAGTGCCCTGCCCACCAGCACAGTAATCCACACGGCATTGCCTCTGACCAAAACACTCACCTCACAGCCAAAGATACCTTCCAGTGATCCCGTGCTCATAGAATTCTCAGGTCTCGACATGTTCCTTCCTGTCCCAAGGGTTATCTTAATAGGACTGTGGGCTGTCCCTTTGGTGACCCCATTACAAGGCCACCTAGTCCTTACTGGGCTAAGACAAAGTTCTCTAGAAAGCTGCATTCACTCCAGATCAGCATGGGGACAAGTGGTGAGGTTTCTGCTATATCCAGACTCCTCCCATCCAGGAGTCAAAGAATGAGGTGGCAATGGCAATAGCATCACTGTGACTGCTCCCCTTCCCCCCCCCCCCGAAAGCTGCTTTCTATCCAGTCGTGGTGGCACATGCCTGTGATCACAGGACTTGGGAGGTGGGAGGGTCAGGAGTTGGGCAGACTCAGTTATATGGCTAGACAAACCTGTGCTACAAGATCCTGTCTCAAAAAAGAACAAGGAGCTGGAGAGGTGGCTCAGCAGTCAGGAGTGTGTACGTCTCTTCCCAAGGACCCAAATTTGTAGCTTACAACCACTTGTAATTTCAGCTCCAAGGAATCCCTGGGCCCCTTCTGGCCTCTGCAGGTAATTGCACTCATATGCACAGACAGACAGGTACATAGAATTTTTTTTAATAAAATATTTTAAAAGAAAATGAAACAAATTTTTGTTTCTGTTTTTTTTTTTTTTTTTTTTTTTTTTTTTTGTTATTCTGTATCCTGTTGACCTGGGGGTCTCAGAGGCAAAACCAAGAGTGCTTCTACCAAGACACACAGGAGTCCATTGGGCTGGACAGGACAGCTGTCGCCCATCATCTGGGCCTCTCATGCCTGAGAGGAAAGATATGAAGTGGCCTGGGTTGATTGATCCAAATAACCGTGTGTCTTCGGGTTCCTATTACTGTGACGAAACACCGTAACCAAAACCAAGTTAGGGAGGAAAGGGTTTATTTGGCTCACACTTCCACAGCACTGTTCATTACTGAAGGAAGTCAGGACAGGAACTCCAGCAGGGCAGGGACCTGGAGGCAGGAGCTGAGGCAGGAGCTGATGCAGAAGCCGTGGAGGGGTGCTGCTTACTGGCTTGCTCTACATGACCTGCTCAGCCTTAAATGAGCGTGGCCTCGCTCACAATGGGCTGGGCTCCTCCCCATCAATCAGAAATTAAGAAGATGCCCTACAGCCTGATCTTACAGAGGCATTTTCTCCATTAAGGTTTCCTCCTTTCAGATACCTCTAGCTTGTGTGTCAAGTTGACCTAAGACTAGCCAGTGCACATGGAGAAACTGGACTGCTGTGCAGCAGACGGGAGAAGGGAGTGTGGGACACAGTGGGGTCCCTTAGGGAGCAGCTTAGTGGCATGTCCTGCGATTTTCAGTCAGTGAGTAACGGCAGCAGCTTGAGGTAGGCTGGACTGTGGACTAATGAGCCAGCTAGTTTTTCATCACTGTGATGAAAACACTTAGTTGCACAACTCCAGAATGAAGATTTGTTGTGAGTCACCTTTGAGGGTATGTAGTCTGCCGTGGTGCGGAGGGCGTGGCTGCAGGAGCTCGGTCCTTCTGGGAGGTTGTAGAAGCTGAGGAGGGAATGCTGCTGCTTGGCCGGCCTGTGGACGCAGCCACCCAGGGTCAGGGCAGCTCTTCCCCTCTCGGTTGATGCCCTTTGAAAATGTCCTCACAGACACATCGAGATTTGATTCACCTCACTAATGCCTTAGGTGTTCCTTCATCCAATCCAGGGGACAATCAAAACTAACCATTATAAAGGCCCAGACTCTTCAGGAGGGAAGGGGGACGCTAAAGTGTTGAGGGACGTGGCTCAGTCGGAGCAAATACAGAACACATAGAAGGTAGACTATAAATGCCAGCCACCACCTATAACCATCACAAAGTGAGGACCATGATAGTCACGATTCCTCAGTGTTATAAATACATCCGTCTATAGAGCTGTGTCTGATGCAAATCTCTTTGTTTTCTCTCCTTGCTTATTCCCTTACTATGTAATGTAAGATGTAGCGACTTTTGGCTGGGCTTACTGCCCATTGACCTTTCCTCACAGAGGCGTGGGGAGGTTGTGGGACCCTTCACCTGAGTGTCCAGCTGCTCTGCATCACATGGCCTCAGGAAGGAGATAGAGTACATAGTGTGCGGGGGGGGGGGGGGGGGGCCTAAGGGAGGCCTCACCTATGCAGCTATGGAAAAGCCGTTATCCCTGCTGAATGGAGGCTTTCAACTGTGCGAGGAACACCCTCGCTCCTGTAGATAACCCCTCACCAGCGCCCTGTGAGGAAGCCCAGTGAACTCAGAGGGAACTGCAGAGGACACATGTCTTCCTTTGTGATTGGTGGCCTTAGGAAGAGGAGTGGACATCTCCCCTGTGGAAGGACATTTTAGTGACGAGAAATTGTGGACGCACGCAGAGCTTGTCCACCTATCACTGATATCATCTATCTATCAAGTCTATCGTGGATTAGACCATCGGTTAAACACTGCTGCTTGTTCTGTTTCTCTGGAGCACTGGAAGTCACAGAGACCTCATTTCCAGATGAACGAGTCCACCTTCCTACTTCCTAGCCTAGGCAGTGCCTAGGGGTGACGCTACGCCTGAGGTGAGTGCTGGGCGTGCTCAGTCTACCTGGGGCTTGGCTCGGCTGTGAGGGTGGAAGCCCTGCTCCCCACCACCACCGCCCTCATCTGGCCTCCTGGAGCCTGGGGACCCCTCTTTTCTGGAGTGCCCCCCGCCAGCAGGCTAGAGTCTGGCCCGGCCTCACCCACCATGTCTGTGTTATTCCAGGGCATAGCAAGAGAGTATACTTTTTGCTCTCCTGGTGCAGCTGGAGAACATGGTGTGCCCGGCAGCCTGCACTGATGCTGTCACCGG